CCGTACCTGGCTTATAGGACGTGCTCAATAAATACCAAATAAATAAATGACCTGAATTCAAAGATCTCCAAAGAAGATGTCATGGTTCAGAGGCATTCATTTGTTTTCAGTCAGTAAATACTTGTTCAATACCTAACATAAAGAAGACACTGAGTGAGGGGAGGTACAGGAGACATTATCTTACGGATGAGAAGCACAGCAAGTCGCTTTGCTGTAAACACAGCCTCTCGGACGGAACGCACACACATTAGAAACAGTTTTACAAAAGGATCTATGTGAATGTGATACTCATGCCTGCTCGTTCTGGAGAACTGTGGGACGAAAACAAGATGCACGCATTCATCTCCAGGCACTTGATTTATTACGCTGCTTCCAAATAGAAGACTGTTCGATTCTTAAACCCTCTCTGGAAGCAGGTGTCTCTGCAGAGTAGGCAGCTTTCTTGGTGGATAACCCGAGCCCCTCCCGATCCATTGGAAACCCATTTTCTTTTGCTTTCTCCTCAGTGACGGCAGAGACCAACAATATCCCTCCTCCAGACCCTTCCGCATGCACTATTTAATGATGCTCCTGGCTTTGATCTTTAATTCAGTTGACAAAGTTTTTGGCCTAGAAAACTCATGATTGTTTACAATCCCTATGTCCATTCTCCCCATTTCTATCCCTCTTGCCCCTGGGGAAGAAAATGTAATAATCATCCTTTCTGCACAAAATTTTTAAAATCAAGGAAAACAACCTACCTTATGCATATGGCCTGGTTTCCATCAAACTGTAAGAGCAATTACAGGCTCCTTTGGACCCTAACCAATTACTTAGCTTTTTCCAGCCCTGCTCCCTCCCAGATGTCATTCTGGGAAGGAAAAAAAGAAATGTTTAAGATTATCACTGGACTGTGGCAACTTTTAAATTCTCACCTGAGGATATGTTTATTGATTTTTTTTAAGAGAGGGAGAGAGAAACATGAATGTGAGAGAAATATTGATCAGCTGCCTCCACACATGCCTGACCAGGATCAAATCTGCAACCTAGGTATGTGCCCTGACTGGAGGTCGAACCCACAACTCTCTGATGATGCTCCAACCAACTGAGCCACTCATCAAGGGACGGATGGATGGTGGTAACTTTTTAAGAATATGGGAGAATGACTAGTAAATCTTTACTCTCCAATACAGATTTGTCTATAATGCTGGTGATCTCTTTTTATGTTAGAAAGATGTATAAGTTTCAAGTAGAGAACATTTTGGTGAACTTTCTTCATGGATCTACAACCTATGGTTTGTTCGAATTATTTTCTCTCCTGTTGAAGAAAATTTAGTCCTATTTCTTTTCAGTTGACAAGCATACACACATGTTCCCCTCTGAAATCTTCTCCATTGCTTTGAACCAGAACCAAGCACACCCCATACATAATTCTGTTAACGTATTTCTTCTCCTTATGGAAACAGTCTAAATAAATGTGGCCACTTGAAAAGTGCTAACACAATAAGTGACAAACTCATTTTAATGGGTTTTACTTTACCCTAAAGCAATATATCTACATGGACAGTTTGCTGAGAATTTAAAACTTATTCAGATAAAAGGCTTACCAAAGTTATGAATATTAGGATATATTCATAGACTATCGTAGACCATAAGACTATCAGGATAACTTGGCTGCTTTACAAGATTATGCTGTGGGCAAACTTCAGCCAGGAGTAGTATCTCAATGAATGCAAAGCAAGAAATTGAACAAAAACATCCAGACTGTAGTGTTCACTATAGTATAAATTTAAGCTTAGAACAATATATGTTTCTCTTATCTTACAGTGGATTCTATCAGGGAGGTTAGGAAACCAGACAGTATCTGAGGATAGAGAATCCTTGCCCTTCCAAAGATAGTGTGATAGCCACAAAGTTATCAGGAGATGACTCAGAATTGTTTAGAAGAACAGCTTAATTTAGAAATTAGCCAACTTCATTACCCACTCCTTCCTTCATAGATCTTTTATCCACTCCTTCCAAGTCACCCTGCCTGAATTTTCCCATAAAAACCCATGATTTCACTTACCTGAACTTCACCTAACAAGTGTGTTTCTCCAGCCCTCTCCTGTGGGCTGTGACCTGCAATACCCAACTTGCCCTTCCCTCCCGTTGCTGATCACTGAGGTTTAGCACCTCGAGAAATGTGCCTAAAACAGTCCCCAGGAGTAGCAGCCACCTTCACTGAGCTACATTTAACTGCACCTTAGGCCTCAACAGCACAAACCAGGCTGTGGCTTCATGTTGGACCCTATGTTCTGGTGTGACCCTCTGCCCCATTGTCCTTGCTGCCTGCCCACCTGAACTGGGTTCCTTGGAGGGAAGCCCTCCCCCTGCCCTGCTCCATGGGGGGAGCGTGTGAGGTGGGCCTGTGGCTTCCCCGCCAGCTGGACAATGGACGCTGCTCCGCTCCACAAAGCTTGCTCTCCCCCGCCCCACCAGAGCATGCAGTGGGGAGAGGGGAGGGTCTGTCTAGTGTCTTAAGTCTAAGCCACTTTCTCCAACAGAGTTTACCAGATGCTCTGCATTTGAGGGACTTATTGGACACGTGCCCTGCCAGTACTAGAGATGACACTTTGGTCTCCATTTTGCTGGCAATTCCTATATGAACTGCCATCAGCCAGACCCTGTAAGGAGAGGAATGGGTGGCACCAAACCCCCCACCTTACACCCCTCACACATTTGTGATGACATGACCCAGATCTAATGCGACAGTCACCAAAGTACCCATGAGGAGACGGAGGCTTCTGTTCTGATATGAGCGGCTACGGGAACACGGCACTGTCTCGGCCAATGTTCCAGGTCATTGCAGCCCTCACTGTAGTGTCCACTGCAGTACCAAGCACAGCACTACATTTGTTTCACTGGAATCCTCAGGTGCCAAATAAATGATATTAGAGGGGGTAAAAAATCCATGCCGACAATCTGGAGTAGCTTTTCTCTGGTGCACACAATGAGCAAGCAGAAACTTGGCCTTGAGCAAAGCCAGAGATGGGAGGGGAAACTCTCACAGTGGCCTTAGACCCGAAAGGCAATTCTGCTTCTCAAGGACTGTGGAGTCCTGGTGGAGAGACCAAGGAGCTGGCTAGAGCCCAGAAAGGATGGCTTCAAATCAGGCTTTTCTTTCTAGCCTCGGGGAGAGCCACGAGGGCACAGGAGGCAGGATTCTGCTGTGGGAGCTTTTGGAGTAAAGTCATGGCTCCCCTTTGCTTCTCGGGCTACGCCCAGGGGCTAGTCACCAAGGCCGTCAGAGCATCGGGAGCGCTATCTTAGAATCTCCACCGCAGTGAATGGCACGGCCACCTGCCCAAGCCAGAAACCGGGCTCTCGTTTGCTTCCCATCACAACCCACATCCACATTTACCCTGTTCATAGCTGTCCGCGGTCTAGGCCAGGCCCTACTCTCTTTCTTGGAAATGCAAGGGCCCAAATAAACTATCTCCCTCTCCTCTGGGGAGTCAACAGAGCAACCTTTCGAAAACATCCATCGTGGTCTCGTCGGTTTAAAATTAATCTATGGCTGCCGATGGCTTTTGATGTAAAACCCAACACCATCACAGGACATCTCTAGCTGCATCTTGCCTTGAATTCTATGTTATTAGGCTGACTGGTCTTCGAATGCCAACTTAAGCATTATTTTCTCTAACTATCCAACAGCCCAGTTTGCTAGATGCGCTTCTGCTATGCTCCCATTGTCCTTCCTTAAACCTGAGCCGCTTTATCACCTAGCACAATGCTGGTGGCTTGTGCCCATCTCCCCCCCTGGCGGAAACACTCCTTATGTGCATGGACCGTGTCCTTCGCCTCTGGATTTATATGCCTAAGGAGGGCTCTCCGAGGGCCGGTGACCCGGACATGAGTAAAATACAGTGCCTGCCCTTGAGAAGCACAGTCTACTCTGGAAGACAGTTACACAAACTAGAATACAAGGCAAACGCTGTGACAGATGCACGATCCAAATTCTATTTAAACATTGTCCTCTCTCCAGTTCCATCATCTTATACACAGCACTAGTCACACTGTTGAAGTTTTGCTTGACTGTCAGAGCGCTGAGCCAGAGATAAGGGCTGAGAGCGAGCGAGGGTGTGTTGTTCATCTTTGAATCTTTATTGCCACACACAGAATCTGGCATATAAAGGTGCTGTATATATATTGAATATATGGAGTAATTAATCATGCCCTTCCTAGGGGCATGGGAGGCGACCAAGGAAAGCTAAAACAAGAAATTGGACATTATCATTGGACTTGAAAGTCATCTCCCAGAATAACAGGGACACCAATGGCATCCGAGCAAAGACATCCAGCGGCGGGGCGGTCTGGCGAGGGCCCTTGACAAGCACAGCTGATTCTAGGAAGATGCCCAAAGTACACTGAAAGCCTGAGGCTATTGTGTTACTCTGTTCTATCCTCTGGGGAATCCTTGGCTGTCCCAAGAGACTTCGCAGTCAGGAGGCAGTTATCCTAGATCTATCCACTTACAAACACCAAGGGATTCTGACCTGGCAGGAACAGCTATTAAATCCTCAGACATCACATAAGTGAGAAGTGGTCACAAGAAAAACACATGAAATTCAGCACTGGGGCTTCTTCCTTTATTGACTACAAACCAGGTACTGGCACACCCCGAATTCCAGCAGAAGTGAGGATGCGACCCTAGGAATTATACCCCCCGTCTTGGCTCAAATGTGCCATGCAGCTTATTTGGGGATCATAATCTGTCATTTTTTTAAAATCAGGTTTCAATAAAAGATGCTATAAAAATACATCTCAGAAAAAGCAGCCCAGTAATTTCAGGTAATGAAATTGCAGTGAACAATGATTCTGTGGAATATTTTACATGACATGACCCATGCCTTTCAAGCTAACAGAATCAGAATGAACTTCCATCCCTAAAGCAAACCCTTAAATGTGCATGGAAAGCAAAGAATGAAGCCAGAATGAAAACGCCATATTTTGGTTTATATTTTTAATTCATGAAAACTTGTTCAAGGGAGTTCACACACACCACAAATACAATCTCGGCAAGCTGAATTTTCATGTGCCTTATTCCTATTTCAGATTCGGACTCACTTCTTTAACCTACGAGCCAGAGCCAGGCCAACAGACAGTCTCAGAGGAAGGTCCGGGCCATCCCGTGCAGGTGAGCGAGCTGCACTTCCCTGCTGTCCATTCTGTGGAAGAGCTGAGCTTGAAAGTGGGCTCCAGGCACTCGGGATCCGTGGAGGTTGCATTGTTCTGCCTCATACAAAGGGGGATACATCCTGCTAGTGGCTTTTCTTTGTGTAAATTGTTTAAAATTGAACGTATAATTTCAAAAAGCAGAGAGAACCAAAATAAGCAGAAAGCCTGTTGTGTTGTTTGAAACTTTTAAAATAAGGAACATTGACTAGAATATTCCTTGCATTAAGTGAGGATGTGTGATTTTGCAGCCTATTATAGACATTCTTTACATCAAGAAAACAAAGGAAAGAAAAGAAGGAAAAACTGTGATGCAGAAATGAGGAATGTCTTAAATAAGGGGAGCAAGTGAAGAGACAGAACGACTTGGAGGAAAAATCCTGGTGTGAAAATCAGTACAAGGTCACAGTGAGCCTTTGGGGACATGAGACTATTTTAGTGTTTCTCGGTTTGCACAAAGTCTAACTCGATAAAGAGCTGACCAGGTTATAATCCCTTCCTCATCAAAATTCCACTATGTCCATATGAAAAATGTTCCATATGATGTCAAGTCTGGTCATATAATGGGGCAGGAGACAGACGTTACAAAATTTCCTTGACAGTAATATCTACCAAAACATATTTTAAGCCAATTGATATTTATTCTTCATAGGGCTAGAATAAAAAGCTTATAAGTTTACACTCTTCTCAACCTAGAAGCATACCTACTGCAAGAAGGGTTATTATATCAAATTCACACCACGTTGTCTGCATTCATTATTAGTAAAAATATTTACAAATAGGACACTGACATCAAACTTTGTAATAATGTCTTTTTTTAATTCAAGTTTATTATGGCTTTAAGGAAATATGTGATTAGGCAACCAAGCTCTTTTTAAATAATATTTTTTAATTATTTACTTCAGTATATTGTTCAATGTTGTATACATTTTGGTTTTCAATATAAAAAGATGGGATAAACAATTTATGATTTTATGTATTCATGCAGAGTGAAGAAATGATGCTGAATCAAACTCCTAAACCCAAATATCTGGCTAACTGAGTCAAATATTTTAAAGTTGATTTTTAGTGTGTCTATGTTGTGTGTGCATGTCTCTTTACATACATTTATTACAATTACTACATGAGCATCCAAAACTGATCTGAAAGCTGATTGCTGTCCAACACAATTCCATCATTTTCTTCCCTCTTACAAAACCAGAAGATTTAAACATTACCAGAAGTGCAGAACCAGTATGTCCATTTCTGTTACTCTTTAGCAATGACATCTGCTTCCGGTCTGGCTAGGTCTAAAGCCAAGAGTGGAGTCTGGCTTCTTCCCAAAGCAGCTATGATGAACCCCTACGGATACTGTTTTGGATAGACACACCCTGAGGAGTTCACGCTGTAAAACACAAATACCTGAGGTCAATTCCAAACCCACTCCACCAGGGCTCACTATAGAGAGGGTTCCTGAAGATATAGCCACAGTCTTAGGCTTCACGCCCCTCAAAGGCGTGTTGCTACAGCATAGATCTAAATCAAAAGAAAACTAGAAAAAGACTTTCCAAGAAAACGTTTAAGATCCAACTCAAGCTCAAGGTTTCATTTTAGTCTCTGATTTAAAAAAAAAAAAAAAAAAAAAAGTCACCCAAACATTTATTTTTCATTCCGGATTCTGTGAAAAGCCTTCAAAAGATCAACATTAGTGTCTATCCAACCTAGGTCCTCACCGCTTGGTGCTCAGGGCTTTTTTAGGAGGTGTAACGAATTCGTTTTTGAGGAATCAGTAGGGCTCATTTCGTCTGGATGTGTTTCTTGTTCCCCCAGAGTGTGCATCGTTTCCTTTGATCTTCACCCCAGTTCTCTGAGTTAGGCGGGCAGGCAAACCTTCTCCATTTATTGATGCGCTTATTAGCCGGCGGCACACCAAGTGCCCACTATGAGGACAGCTGCGATGCCAGAACCAAATGTTCAAGTCCAGAACTTCAATTTTTCATGCAGAAGCATCAAAAAGATGTGTGGTTGCTAATTTACTAACACAGCTGCTGATCAGAACATATGGATGATATGATCCCCTTGGAGACTGGCCACCACATTTAATCTAGACCAAAATTAAGGGTTCACTTGCAAACAAAGGCCACAAATTTGCCCTTTACTAGTTTTAAACTACTGAACACCTCACTGACCCTCTCGAGGAACCTCCTTCTCTGGTGGGCAAGAGAAAGGCACTTAAAAATCCGCAGCTGCCATGAGAGTGACAGGAGAGAAAGCTGCCAGAATCTCGTAAGCCCGGGGGGGAAAAAAAGAATTTCCAAGGAAGTTACTAGAAAATGCACTTATCTGTATTACCTTTAAGATTTTAAACATAAGAAATAAAAATCATACCACTTATTCTTCCCTAAATGGCCTATAAATGTTAAGTGACTATACGAAACTGGAACTGAATGATTAAGGTGACAAAATATACTTACTTCCTCTTTATGAAGACTGCTTTAAATCTAGCAAAAGGGATTCATCATCATCTACTTTCACCTGGGGTTTAAAAGTAACTTTTAAAGGCTCAGGGGTTGAGATTTCCCCTCCTTCGTGGGGAGGACCCCCCACCCTAACCTCCTCGCGGTCTGTTTCACTGAGCTCGTCAGAATAGAGCCCACTGACCGGACCCAGAGACTCACTCCTGGCAATGATGTCCACACCCATCTCCCTGGCCTCTTCGGAACCTTCCGTCCCTGTTCGATCTTTAGCTTTCCGAAGGCTGCGCATCTTAAAAGCTTCCTTTGAGGGAGCCGCATTAGAAATAGATTTCTTAAATCTTTCCCCTGACTGTTTCAACCTCTCCCCCGACTGCCTCAGCCTCTCCCCCGACTGCCTCAGCCTCTCCCCCGACTGCCTCAGCCTCTCTCTCCTCTCTGGGGTCACTATTCTAGTTCTAATTCTGTTGACCTTCTTGTCAAAGTTCTGCCGTGTCTTCTGCATGTTTTCTTTGGAAAATGCCTTTTTGATATTATCAATGTGCTCCTTGCCTGACTTTCTAAGCTTGGCGGATTTGCTTTCTTCAACGTAATATTCTTCATCTGAAGACAGATCTATTGGGGGATCAAAGACATCTTCACTGTCTTCCTCTTGATTCTCACTTAGGTTTTTGTCTTTAACAACAGACAGGGATGTCGGGCACTGAATGTCCTCCTGAAGGACAGAAAAAGAAAGCATATTAGAGACCAGCTCTTACACCTTCTGTCATGCCTTTAAATCTCCGCATGTTGTTTATCCTCTGCCCACTCCTTCAATGTTGGTATTTCTCCGGGTCTCTCTTTCCTTGGCCCTTGTTTCTTCTTCATCTCCCAAGCTCACCCTGAACAACCTTATCCATTCCTCTGCCTTGGGATCCAATTGTAAGCAAATTCACAAATATTTTCTCTTTATCTCTCCCCTTCTCCTAAGATGGAGACACATTTTTAGATAACACAGATTTCTCCACCTAGATGGAACACAACATGTCCAAAACTCAAGGCCCACCCCTCGTCCTCTCTACAGCTACTGCCCTTCCTGGACCTTTCGGCACCAGCACCTACCCAGGCGCAGGCTACACGCCCCAGCATCATCGTCCCGAATATTTTCTTTCCTCCTCGTCTCACACCACACTGCTCATCGAGCACTGTCAATAATACTTCTTAATAACTCATCCCTTCCTCCCTGCTTCTACCAAGGTCTTCCATTCAGGTCCTTGTCCCCTGAGGCCTGAATTTGGGTGACACTTCTACTTCCAAAACATCACCTACACATTTCCTGAGAAATATTTCTAAAAGCATAGCTCGGATTACATCCTTTTCCTGCTTTAAAACTCTTCAAGGCTCATGAGCACTCAAAGGACAGCATTCAAACCCTCTAGTATGATGAGAAGGCTCTTCAGTCTGAGCTAAGCCACCTTCCCACACCTCAGTCCAGCAACACCCAGCCGCACTCAAGTCCTCAAACACACAAGAAAACATTGCATATGCGGTTCTTGCAACCTTAAATGCCCCTTCACCTGTTTTCAGCTCTGTAAAAATATATCTTTCTTCAAGAGTAGATTCAAATGTCCCCCACTTCCCCAAGAGGCTAATTACATCTCCACTTTACATCAAAATGGCACGCATGTACCTCTTTTTATTTATCACAGTTTGAACTGAATTGGAACTCTACCTATTTATAAATGTCTCCCAAGGCTTTCCACTTGACGGTCAGTTCATGAAGCAAAGATGTGTCTTATGCTTTATGCCCAGTATGACTGTTGGGTCAAACAAGAGTTTTATGCTGTCATCCAACAAATAATAACTAAGGGCCTACCAAGCAGAGTGAATGTTCTAGGAACTGAGAACAACCTCCTGTGGAAAAATAAACAGAGTATAAGAGCTTATAGTTTCACAGAGGAATAAGCAAGTTAAATTAAAGAATGTTGGATGGTGTTAAGTAGGGAAGGGGAAAGGAAATACAGTGACGGGAGAATGCTCGGAAAAGCCTCGCCCATAAGGTGGCATCTTAGCCTAGAGGCACAAGCAATGCATACATCTGGGAGGGAAGGAGAAACAGCAAGGTGGGCAGAGTGGTTGGAGCGGAGAGATCGAGGGCCAAGAGGAGGAGGAGAGAGGGCGAGGGAGGTGGCAGGAGGGCCAGATCATCTAGGGCTCCGTATCCAGTAAATAGGACTGCAGCTCTTACTTTGAGTGCGTTGAGGAAGCCTTTGAAAGAGTTTTGATACGAGTAGTGACATGATTTGACCCATGTTGTAGAAGGGTGGCTCTGGTGAAAATAAGCTATGGGGGTGAGATAAGAAGCAGGGAGAACAGTTGGAGACCGCAGGATAAGTCGGGGGAGAGATGGATCGGGGTGTTGGCAGAGATGGTGGTGAGAAGTGGTCTGATTCCTGATCCACTTTGAAGGTAGGAGCCAGCAAGATGTGCTGCAAGATTTGGACGGGGAGTGTTAAGAGAGTGTCAGTGATAATTCTCAAGTACATGGTCTAGGCAACTGGAAGATGGATTTGTCATTAAATGAGATGACAAAGTTGGCGGGAGGAAGAGACTCGAGGGGAAGGATAGGGTCCTAACATTAAAAATCTGAGATGCCCCCTGGAAATCCAAGCAGAGGTGTCAAGCAGGCAGCTGAGTGTGTAAGGCAGCTGGAGTTCAGAAGGGAGGTCTGGACTAGAGATGAAAATTTAGGAGTCATTAACATAAAGATTAAATTAGAAACTCTGCAATTCAGAGTAAAGAGATCGCAGTGAGTGAATGAGTCTACCTTCTGTTATTCATACTCCTTGGGACCACAGTATGTTTCAGAATTCAGAATATTTCAGATTTGGGGAAAATAATATGATATTTTATATAACATTCCAAGTGAGATGTTTAGAAGAAACACTTTCATGGCAAAAAATATGAATATTCACCCTAAGGTGGGCTAAAGACTATGAACAGCGTCATGCTATTTCTGGTCAGGTTTTGCCATCCAGTGAGTTCAGGGTCAAGCTAGGTCTTGCTGCCAATTAGGTTGTTTTTAAAAATCAGAAATTGATGGATTTTACCGTTATAGATACATGGATTTTAGACAAGTAGATCAGAAAAGATGAGAAAACCAAAAGGAGAAATATCAGCCAGTGTGGCAGGAAGAAATCCAAGGGGCAGCAGCACCTCCCACAGCTAAGGGAAAAGGGAAGCTGGGGGAAAAGAAGTCTCAAGCAAGGGATGGACCAGCCATCAAATGTGTCAAAAGGGGAAGAATGAGAATTGGTTTGGGAACATGGCAGACACTGGTGACCTTGAGAACCAGCCCAGAAACATAGCTGCGAAAGGAACCCAACTCCCTATTTAGGGATTGTTTCTAGAACTCAACAGGCAGAACATCGTGAGACTTTTAACTCAACCCCTGGAGTTAAAATTTCTAAAGAAAACTGTGCTCCTGCTGATATCCAGATTAAACCTGTTCAAAAGAAAATGAGTAAGTATGTAAGAAACACATTTACATGTATTCCAAAAACCTATCAGCCTGATAGTTAAGAAGGTATCACCTGGAACCTTATTTTGTTGGATACTTATTTAAAATTAAGTTCTTTGGATATAGGATTGAAGAGTCTAGAAGCTTTAAAAAAAAAACCACAAAACAGCAGGGTGGGCGTCTCAAAAAAACAGCAGGGTGGGCGTCTCATAACTCTCTGATGAATCAGAAGTAGCAAAATGATTCCTCTGCTTTCCTGACACCTGCTGCCGGGAGCAGCTTCAGCAACACTGAGTGGGTTGGTATGGCTGGAGAAGGTATAATTAGAAAAAGAAGGAGCAAAAAAAAAAAAATTTACTGCTTGGTAAGGGGAAAACCCCTCACAATCCTGCTATGAAATCATATAACTTAACTCAAGGATCACACATCCTTCTTCAATAGCACAACCAATTCTATAAAAGCAGTCTTAAGGACAAAAGAAAACAGAGGTGGAGTCAGAGAAAGCACTTGGTACATGAATCTATCTGTTGTAACTCCAGTGAGTCAGAGATACCATGAGTCAGTGGTGAATACACTATAATAATAATTGAAGATTGAACGGTTGAATTATAGTTGATTTCCAAATACAATTATTATATATCTTTCTAAAAGTCCAGATTAAAAAAAAGATGATTTTTATAAATAAAACGAGCACTTTGGGTCATAGCTGAGTATCACAGTAACAGCTAGGAGAATTTGGAATATATCGAAGTCCAGGACTTATCATTAGAGAATGGCCAAATAACTCATTTGGTAACTACATGTCATTTAGTAAGCAAAACTGGTAGAAGATATGCCAAGACCCCCAGCCTGTATGATGAGAAAGCCATCAAAGTGAAAGCATGTTCAAAGAGAAATGATAATTGTATGAGAAATAGTAGATAATTTTTTTAATGCCAATGTCCAGGATTAGTTGAAAGTCAGCCATACACAACTGTGGGAGATAAAATACCAATAAAAATTGCCACCAAAAAGATGTATCCAGGGAAAACTTTTTGAGGAAAGACCCAAACAGAAATGCATATATCCTATAGCTGAATTACTCAGCCTCAAGTTAATTTTAGCAGAAGGGGCCTTCTCAATATAACCACTTACGCATATTAACTATGAGAACGAACTGTAACAACTGTAAGAATATGCATGTGAACACAGTATAGTGTTCTAACATCTAATGAAACATCAAATCTGAGTTCTATGTCTATTATTTGCCTCTGTCTTTTTTTCTGTAAGGTGTCCCATTGTAGCTGACTGCTTATTGACAAATTGCTGCTTGTTCTGAATAACTTAATCTCACAGAACCTTCGTAGCTCCTCTCTCTTACAAGGAAAGAAATCTGACCTAACTAGCGCCTCTCAGCTGCGTTTTCATACTATCTTCTATTTGTTCAAGTAACTATGGGGGCTCAAAAAAGGGGGAAAATAGCAAGCTTCAGGGAATAATTGGGTGACTATAGAAACATCTCAACTTTAAAAAGAAATTATATCAATAGAAAAATGAATCAATGAGAACTTTTCAGAAACTTCTTTGCTCTCGCCTCTGCAAATCTTAATTGGTACCTGGTCCGTTCTTGGTACGAAGGTTCTCAGGAGAAATGCTGGATACTAAGAGTGTCTGCAGGTGATGTCCGATGCAAGCAGAGTGTTATGTACCCATTACTGCTAATGCCCTTGGAAAGTGAACTGAAGAACAGGTACTGCATTCTCCAATACCAAATAGATCCCCATTATGTACACTAACACTGGAACTGGCCGCTGAGACTAAGGTGACTAATTTTTTCAAATTTTTAAGTCTGGAGAAGAACTGCCAGGAAGAAAAGGGAAATGACGTGAACCAACCTACCTACCTTTGAAACAAGCAACAGTTCTCCCTCCTCCCTACTCTTCTTCTTAAATAACAAACAGGCTCTTAAAAACAGATTCATCCCTGGCTGGTGTGGCTCAGTGGACTGAGTGCTGGTCAGCGAACCAGTTCACCATTCGATTCCCAGCCAGGGCTCATGCCTGGGTTGCAGGCCAGGTCCCCAGTTGGGGACATTTGAGAGGCAACCGATCGATACATCTCTTGCACATTGATGTTTCTCTCCCTTTCTCCTTCCCTTCTCCTCTCTCTAAAAATAAACAAATAAAATCTTTAAAAAAAAAGATTCAAAACACTATTCTGTAATTTTATCAGTCCTCAGAGGGCTATAGAGAATTGACTAATGTGTAACGAATGCTGTGGAGGGTTATTGCCCACATCCCTCGTATCTTACAAATATCTGCCAACATAATCCAACTCTGTTCCCCTTTCATGTTGTCTTTCTTCCTTTAGGTTTTATCCCTAAGCATATGGGCATTCATTCATTTTAAAAGTATGGTGTTTTTTTTTTTTTTTTCTCTCTCTCTCTTTCTCTCTCTCTCTCTCTCTCTCAGCATCCCTGCAGGTATTACTGATTTTATACTTTGAACAAATTCTCTGACATGAATTTTTGGGGCCAAACGGTTTGTGAATTTTTAAAGTACTTAATATGTACCAACAAAACTGCCCTCCAGAAATGCTGTATCAATTAATGCTCCTACCCGCAGAATACTGAAGTGCTTGTTTTTTTTTTTCTGCCCTCAAACTCTGAGTATGTTATGTTTTAGTAACTGCAAATATTGAAACAGATGAAGATGGAATTCTGCTCATTTATTCTGTCTTTTGTGAACTGTCTGATAATAACTTCCCTGTTTTTCTACCATAGGAGGAGAGTTCAATTTTTCCTTTTGATTTGTAAGTTTTAAAATATATTATAGATATGCATTTGCCCTGAATATAGTCCTATTTTTAAAAAAAGTAAGTTCAACTGTACAGTTGTATACAGTGCCTCACAAAAACGATTACATTAAATCAGCTAAATAAAAACACTCTGTAATTAAACATAAGGAATCATTTATGTGACTCCTACATTTGTATAACTATATTAACAATGAGAAAAATAAGAAAAATTGCCTGATTCATTAGAAAATAGTTTCTTATTATTGTGACTCATATGTAAAAATTCCAACAGATTATATTCTGAAAAGCTTACACTTTATTGTTTAGGGTTTTCCTGGCTCTTCGATAATAATAAGGGAAAAAAAAAACACATTGTGAGGCTACAGGTCCTCAGTTTCTTTCTTTACGATACAGAGATGTTTCATACTCAAGGCTTCTTAAGTCTCTTCCACATCTAACATTCTAAAGTCTATGAGAAGGCATCATGCGAATATGGCTAATATGCTGAAAGAGCTTTACCAATATTAAGTTTCAAAGGCAAGAAATAGCCTTAGCTACGGTCCATAGTTCATATTACATGCAATGGTTGAGAGGCTCAAAATACTGCTCTGATAGTAGGTTAGTTAACACAGATATGGTTTTATCCTGAGATATCTGCTGATACAGAATTCCACTACATGAACACATACAATAGCTAAGAGGCAACAATGGAAAGTTCTGACAGGGCTTGCTGGCCTTGAGAGGAGGAGAGAGACTGCAGTAGTAATCAAGGTAAACCCAAGTGCAAGCTTACCTGGAATATTACCACACGGAATTTGTTTTTCTTCATTATTTCCTCTTGCTTAGTTTCTACTTTTGTAATGTGAATTTGTTGCTTCTCCACCCGGGCCTTCACGTCTTTAATGTGAGCACTGACTTTCCGGGTTTTCTCAAACAACTTGTTAATGACATAGCCTGTATTGCTGTGTGACTGTGAAAATTTCAGCAGGTCGATCTGGACGGATTTTATAGCATTTTCCATTTGCCTGTGTCTCTCTTCTATTCTCTTCTGGCTCGCCTGCACACTGTCCACGACGGCGGCGACTTTGTCTAGCACAGTCACAATGGTAAGAGCGGCATCTTGGTCTTCATCTTCCGTCACACTCGACAGACGATTCTGGTGGATCTTATCAGCATTTGAAGCAGACCTATTGTGTTCCATTTTATGTATTTCTCAGTTAAAGATGGCCTACCACAATCAACTCTGGCACTTAGAGCGAAGAGTTTGCTTGATAACAGGCAACAGGGTTGTATAAAGGGTTGGAAGCCCCACCCCTGGAGACTGGTCAAGTATTTATAACTACAAATACCCATACGTGACTGTCTGCAATATGAGCCCTCGCAATGCACTGGGGACTGTTCCAAACATGCTTACTGACTGACTAAGGGACTCAAATAAGACCGTGGCCAGAAGAGGACAGCTTTTCTCAAAAAAGTTCACTAAAGCTGCCATGCTACTAACATTAAGCCGAGAAGCCAAATGACCAAAAGAGCAAACTCCAAGTGCTGGGTGAGACATTGGCCATTAGATAATGTCCAGCAACATTTGTAAAAAAAGCAGAAGGAAATTTTGAGCTAAAATCTGTTTTTTCTATTAATTTCACATATTAATTGCACTGACATATCAGTATCAAAGGATGTAGTAAAAAAACACACCAAAGGCCATATAGTGAAAACATTATATTATAACATGCTTTTCCAAATCAAATATTAAAATTAATATTCAATTTTGAACATATTCTTAAATTCTACATGCATACTTCTGAATATCTAAACTACACGTTAAACAGCTGAATACATTCTACTCACACTTCAGATCTTGAAACACCAACAATCTATTAATATATCTATTACTACAGGACAAATTTGGATAAAGAGGTCTTAGGTAATTTTTAAGCTCACTTTAAGAGCACCAATCATTAACAATTATTTTTGCATTTTATTCACAAACACTGAAACAATTATGTTAAAACAAATATTTTCTTTAAAAATTACTGTGTATTAAAGTAGTTTAATTGATAGAGTAGGTTTTATTCCCATCTGTTTGTTAAACAGACTGTTTTCACAATATCTAAATCTACTTTTCAGTGATCCGTTCCATCATTGCTACCAGACACTTTTTTGAATTATCAGAATTATTTTTTCAAAGAGAGGAATAGTCAAATTCCAGTCCATACATCTTGTAAATATTTTACACCTAACACACACAGCTTTACAGTTCATGCGACTGGCAGTGTCTAAAAAAATCAGTTACTAAATCTCAAAACATTTAAATGCCTATTTAAACACAGTGTCTTCTAAAATTTTTTTTGTAAGAAAAGTAATCTGTAAACATCTTTACCTTTAGTTCATGCTTGGTCATTTGCTGTGGTCATTGTGGAAGAAGTGGGTATGACTTTAGAACCATTTGTGAAGTGGTCCACCTTTGCAAAAATACTACATTCCATGGGTAAAGAACAAGTCTTAGAGTTACCATGTGGTACAAATTTATGAAATCAATTTTTATATTTAAAAACATAAAACAAAGACTTCTAAACAGTCCAAAACTGTTGTAGCTGAATATTCTAAATACGAGCCAACTTGTACTACACTAAAAATGTCCAAAAATAAGGCCTCTGAAATAAATATTTCCATTCTTTAAAAAAAGACATAATAAATGTACATCACATGGTCAGTGTACATATAAAAGTCATTTTAAACCATCCTAGATGACGTATCTGAAGTAAAATGGCCTAGGTTTTGCTTCTGTCGTCGTCCTCTATTGTTTTTAGGGCATTTTCTGTTGAGTTAAAAAAAAAGAAAAAGGAAAATGTCATTTTGTTTAGGATATTTCAGATGTTTCCAGAATAATGCATACTTCACACAAAAAGCCATAATGCATGCCATCACATGGAAGGGGAACAGGGCACTATTTGATATAAGACAAGGGAAGGACCAGCACCTCAGACTGCTGTCTTCCTGACAAAGTTGAGGGGTGGGAGGTCAGATACCCCCACCTTTGCAGGTATGGCCACAAGCAAAGTTCATTCCCGAGGTCTCTACTGCTGACTTGCATCCCCCAGAGGAATCCTCCCCCTTCCTCTGGCCCATGACATACAAACCCGTGACAGCAGAAAGGACCCTGGCCAACGTACCTTCCCTGAACACTGACACCCCCGAGATGGTAAGAACATCTTAGATGAAGGGAGAAATTGGGAAGAAATATGTTTATTTAACCTCTGATAGGCATATACAGGAAATGCCTAGAGATTTTAGGCAGTGACTCCAAAGAAGTCGTTCCACACCCTGCTTGGGCAAACCACAGAACCCACTGCGGAACCGCCATTCCGGGGTAAGGGATATTGCTGACTCCGGTCTCATTTTACCCCACTTCTTCCCCCAGAGCAGTGTAAATCTCACTGTGTTGTAACTATGTCTGTGCCCACCCACTAGAATGCAAACATATGAGCTCTCACTATGCACAAAGCACTGTGCCATGCAAAGTGGAATCAGGGGGCTGGGATGAATTCTCGTAGTTTTGAGCTTGGGCTCTGCTAAAAACTAGCTGTGTGACCACCTATTCCTGTATGTAAAATTTTAGGAGTGGGACTAACCTCTAAAATCTCTGCCAGCAAGAAATTTCTAATCTCATGGAAAGTCTTGCAACAGTGAGTACTACTATCCTAAAGTTCCATGTTTTCAGTCAATTTCAAGAGCACTGCTTTGCCTTGACCTGAAAGCCTTGGTGGTAACACTTCCATTTTATATGTTTTCATCAAGTTTTATCTTAATAATCCTCATAAAAAACACTATGAGACAGTGCTGGAATCATCTCCATTTCATAAATGGGGAATTGGTTGAGTTGTCAGGCAACCCCTCTTTTAACTGTCACTAATTCACTATGACCTTGGAAAAGTTCCAACTTCCTGGGTCTGTGGCTTTTTCATCTATAAAATAAGGGGGTTTGGCTAGGATGATGTCCAAGGTCCCTGCCATTCTGTCATTCTATGAGTATAAAAACAGGAAAAAAGAGTCCAAGCATAAAAGAAGATAATTTTACTCATGCAGTCTTGACAAGCGGGTCAGCAGGAACATCCTTTTACAGGAAGACTCCTCACAGTAGTAAGACAGCCCCATGGGGTAAGGGAACAGCTGTCCCATAATGGGCTGCGTGGGAGAGGCAGGCAATCCTTAAAAATTTGAAGGAGACAAGTAATTATAATATTCTAAATCCAAGAGAGCAAGACATTCTAGGAGAGAAAACACCACAATAAAAAGAGAGGCCTCAAGGACAGATCTGCGATAAATTCCATGAAAATGACCCTTTGGTCATGGAGCCCATGGGCGGTAAAGATACAGAAACACAGTTAAAAATACACTGTGATGTCCAAGTGGCTTTGAAGGCAGCAAGTGGGTCTGGGGTATAAACGGGAGGGTATTAACTTGAAAACTACCTGCCAGGTAATTTTACTATAGTAGTTGAGGGTTATAGCACACTCAGAACAGAAGCACAGAACCAAACAAAGCTGGATTAGCATTTGCACAGGAACTTATCTACCACCTTGGGTTTGGTACTTCCGATCCCAGGGCTTCAGCTTCCTCATTTCTCGAGAATGAAGGGGCTGTACTCAAAGTTGCTTCCCGCTGACTCTGTCAGACTTTGATCTCCTTAAAAATCACATTATAGCAGGGCCTGAAAATCTTCCTTTACACCTTACCTCTTTCTTTTACCTTCCTAATCATTTATTACTCTACCTATCCTCGGCTCGAACAATGTCCTGAATGGTCTCCCCCAGCCTCACATTTTCTATCCTCTAATGAATTTTGCAGAAGACACTCAGGTTAATTCTCTGAAAATGTTTTATACCAAATCTCTCCCCTATTCAAAACCCTGAACTACTACAAAATCAAGTTGGAGCCTCGTTCCCACACGATGGTCACGCTTGGCAAATATATTTCCCAAGATGATTAAACGTGGACCCTCCTCTCGATGGTTCAGTGGAAAGAGGATGGTTTGGGAATCAGGCAGCACTCCATCAGCCCAGGCCCTTCCACCGACTGGTTTGGGTGACCACAGGCAGATGCCTTAACCTTGGAGCCTACATTAAATAGCCACAGGCAGACCTGCTGTTGCTGTTGCATGTTGTTTTTTTTAATCTTTCTGCTGTCATTACTTTTTATATCAATGTGTCCCTACTTTAATCTCCTGCCCAATTTTATACTCAGTAGTCTTGCCTGAGGGCAGATCATCTGTTCTACAGAATAAAGTCCACTGACTTTAGTGCCTGGACTTTATGAAAAATACCTTACTTAGAGAACACTTTTTAACAAATCATTTCTAGATGTATTCGTTCAGCTCCAGATGGCTGAGACTACTGAAGGCCTGGCTTCCATCCAGACCTTGGATAGAAGAGTCATAAATCCTTCATGGCCTGCCAATATATCTGTACTTGATATGCTCCAATCCCCTGCCCAGAGTAATGCAGAAAAGTATGCAGATGATGTTTATGAAACTTCTGAACCTAACTGTAAAAGAGGTAAAGAAGAGGCAAGCAAGAAGAAAAGACAGGAGACTGGGAAGCATAAAGACAATATGCACTTGATTTGCTATGACTTTTCTCAGGTCCAGTTCAGTTCTGACTTAGATATTTCCACTCAGTGTGGAAAACACCCACTTTATGCCAACTGCACTCTCAAGAGTCCTTTAATTTGGAGTTTAGTTACAATAAATTCGAATAGTTTTAGTTAATAATACAGAATTTTACAGTTTAGTAGTTATGACTGTTTTCTAGAAAATGGAAGTTACATTAAGACAATGATAATAAGAAAAGCAGTTTTCTTTAAACTTTTCTTCCTTTCTTATCCTATCTGCTGGCAAATAAAGTATATTCTTGGGGCATAAAACACCTTGCAGTTCAGCGGGGTTCAAAAATCTTCAGCGTGGCTCTTCCGTGCACGCGCAGACCATTCTAAAAGTCTGCTACTACCAATAATTTGCCCCTGAATGCAGTGCTTAGAACCAACACACAATTCTAAGATTCCTAAACTCCTTTATGTCATTGAAGAGTCTCATGCTCCCTCCACCTGCAACCCAGATCGACCTGAAACCCTGGGAATGAGTTCTTGCCCATCTTCTGAGGAAGCAAGACAGGAAGAGGGCTGACCCATGTGGCAACATTAGTGAACTGATCTGAGGGTTTTTTTCCTAATAAAACTGGGAGACTTAAAGCCCCTATCATTTGCAATGTCCTTCAAGGTTCTTTAATTTCACAGCTACCCACCTCTAAGTTAAAGTTGGTATTTCTTAGGTCGTCACCTACCTTG